TGATAATTAAAAATCCCAACCCATTTAAAATTACAAAACTACATTTTATTGATTTTGCAGTAGTCTCTAAACTCCATCATTTCAAAATGAAAGCAAATGAGTTGGTAAAGAATATTTATTTTTATGTCATATAGGTATATTCTGAATTCTATTTTGGACCTGGCCTTATTTCTTTTTTGCATTTGGACATAGTGACTATTCTCTGAGGTTATAGTATTTTTAAATTCCAAGAAATCATTCAGATTGCAGAGCTGTCATTTTTACTTCCCTTGAAATAGAAGTTGTTAAATAGGAATTTCATTTCTGAGAAATAGTACTTGAGCAAGAAGGTCTTTATGACATTGCAGATGTGACTTTACTTAATGTATTTGCTCCCTCTAGTGAGTATTCTTGTCTTTGTTTGCAACATTGCAGACTTAAGGCAAGAACTAGCAGTTCGGGAGAGACAACAGGAAGTGACCCGAAAGTCAGCTCCCAGTTCTCCCACGTTGGACTGTGAGAAGATGGATTCTGCTGTCCAGGCTTCACTCTCTTTGCCAGCTACTCCTGTTGGCAAAGGAACAGAAAATAGTTTTCCTTCACCAAAAGGTTTGTCTTTCTCTTTGAGACTGTGTTAGATTATCAACTGAAGAGGATTTGTTGATGAAACAGGAGTTGCTAAGGGTCAATCAGTAATTGCAGTTTAAAAGTTGGTTCAATCAAGTGCTTTTGAAGCAGAGCAACTGTTTTCCTCAGCCACTGCTATGTAGGAAACAAATAATGGCTGTCTTTAAGACATCAACAGTTTAATTGAGATTTTAAAAAGTGAAAAGTTTAGCAAGAAAGTTTACTTTTTACTTCTAGGAGTAGAACATATTCATGCAGGTGGGCTTTTTTTTTTTTGGTGCTGGGTATTGAATCCAGGGCCTTGCTCATATTAGACAAGTATCTTACCATTGAACAAGCCCCATGAAGAAAAATTAAAAACAAAAAAAAGAAAAAATGAAAATCAAAACCATCTATAATCTTAACTACTTCAATACAATTGTCTTGAGCATTTTAAGTTTCTTACTGTGTGCTAATGTGTATTGTATTTGTGCACATCTCCTCTTCACACTCAAGTTTTGGAACCATACTTAAATACAGTTTTATTTCTTGCTTTTGCTGCTTATCAGTATTATGTAAAACTAGAGGTTTTGAATAGATATGCCCATTCTGTTAACATGCTTCAGGAGCTGCTGTCATCAAAGGTGACCTTCAGGGTAACTGGTGAGCTGTAGTTTGAGAATATTGCTTTTGCTGTCAGATAATGGCAAAAGCAATCCAGAGAAGAAGAAAAACCACTTAGTAGTCACTAGATAGAACCTTAGAAGGAAATCCCAAAGCTCTCGATTCAGATTTTAGTTTTTGCAGCTCATATCTCAGCTATTCTCACTCTTCCATGATGCTTTCATCCCAAACTGAAGCAGTCTTTCCTCCCACCCTTTTTAAATTATAGGGCTTTAACTTTCAGAGTAATAGAAGGTGGTTTGCTGTCTGGGCAATTAGTATAGTAAACTGTATCTGGACTGCTTGATAAAGTAGCCCCTAGCCACATATGACTTTTAATTTATACTGATTGAAGGGTTGGGGATATAGCTCAGTTGATAGAATACTTGCCTTGCATATATAAGGCCCTGGGTTCGATCCCCAGCACCGCCCCCCCCCCAAAAAAAGTGCACAAAACTGATTGAAATGAAATTAAATATAAAGTAAGTTTATCAGTTGTACTAACCACATTTCACATTTCAATTAATCAAATTGTCTTAGGCTTATTATGAGACAAAAGTAGGTAAGGCAAGTGAAAATGCTATGTAGTCATATAGCACTAGTTATTAATTATAGTAGAATGTTCTGAGTTTGCTGCTGAATATATAGCAGACACTGTAGTTTATAGCTGTCATCAGAAGCTCTCACTGTCAGATACTTTACAATTATCGAACTCTGAGAATTAACAAAGTTTTGCTTTGATGCTGTTAATTAGAATCATACAGATAAGTTCTGAAAATTCTTTGGTTGTTTACCAATCAGAATAGTTAAAAGCCTAGATTGGGTGAGACCAAAGACAGTGCACATTCTTTTATAGCCCGTTAGAGTTTTTATTAAGGAGTAAACAGGACACAGGGCCTGCCTTGGCACAGAATTAGATGTAAACCCTTAGGCAGGGTTGACAAATAGATACAATTTTATTTTTTTTAATTTTAAAAAATATTTATCTACAGAGAGCTAGGGTTGTAGCTCAGTGGTAGAGTGCTAGCCTAGCAAATGTGAGGCATTGGGTTCGATCCTCAGCATCACATAAAAATAAATAAATAAAATAAAGGTATTGTGTCCATCTACAACTCAATTTTTTTAAATTTATAAAAAATATTTAATTACAGAGTATGATTTTATTTTTGTTATTTTTTATTGGTTCTTTTTATAGATACATTCGTATATTGGAACCTTCTAATAAAAGTTCTAACAGGATCTTTAAAATTGAGAAGTTGAAGTTCAAGTTATTTTAGAATAGTAGATGTGTAAGAATGGTCAAGAAAAGTTTGAAATAGGCTAATAACAAGAAGGGGCTTTGCCTTCTTAGATAGCAAAAATAGATTTTAACACTATATTAAATTACTTCTACATGGTACTCCATTAACACATTTTTTATCAGTTAAAATGAAAAGAGTAATACTTCTCATGGCATAGACTTAAATAATTCAGTGAAACTGAAATATATATAAATAGTTAGGAATTCAGTCTATAGTCCTATTTCAGATGTGAGGTCTTATCTAAATGGTATTAGGACAATTGGCTATCCATTTGGAGGAAAAACATTTAGGTATCTATATTATCTCTCTCTCTCTCTCTCTCTCTCTCTCTCTCTCTCTCTCTCTCTCT